ATGTACATAGCAATAGCACATATTTCACAGTTAGTGTCCCAATAGGAGTTCGCAAGACCGGCCGATAGCAGTACTTCCTTATAACGCAGCTCATGGTTGCCTTGCATCTATACTTTTCTCTCTTCTCAGCTTTGCCATCCATTAATGAACGTAAAAGGATGATTTTTGGTAAAGATGAGAAAAATGATCTTGTGTTCATAAATTTCGTCTAACGTAGGTACCTCACTATTAAGACGGATTAATCTGAAGTTTCTGGATTATTGATGTCCTTTTAAGAGATTTTCACTGCCTAATAAACGGCTCTCTGGCTGTAGAGCGGAGAATTCCTCATTCTATCATTATTCCATCACTATTTAAATTTCTCTTTGCCGTGAGTTCCATAGACAGCCACCGCGCACGCTATTTTCCGTCAAAACACATTCCCTGACCCTTACCTTTCACTTCTGCACTTAGCACCTCTTCTGTTTCTGCACAACACGAAGACCGGAGATTCGAAAAACATTGAGTTCGCTTTTGTTGAAACTGAGTTAATTGAGAAAAGTTTTCACAATGACTGACAGATTTGTGTCACTGCAGCTGTACAAGGTGCTTAGATACGCCAGTACTAAACAAATATTAACCATTACTTGCCCTTTTTTAGTAAGTAATTAACAGTTGAGTACTAGGCACTCGAACCATTTTTGTTTCTTTTATCGCGTCTTTTTTTGGGAAACGCTTCTTAGATATTTGACTAGATATAGGAATCTTAAGAGATAAAGGTAACATTCGCACTAAAAGCATTTTATTAATTAACCAAATCAAAACACGATTAAGAACTTTGAATGGCGAAAATAAGCAGAAAACAAGAGAAGCCATATGTTCAATCAGAAAAATTGCCCACTTAACGCTGAAATTGCATTTTTTGCTCCAAAGTAATTTAACTTTGTATATAAAGGGAATTCAACGTATCAAACGAGTTCTGTGATCAAAAGGGACACCAAGCCGGCATTTCATTTAATCATGAATCTTATGTTCCTGAAACAATGGTCCCCTACGTCGGAGAACTGTGCGCTGCACCTAAGATTTTAATAGATTCAACTTGGCAGTTGGCGTGAAAAAAAAAAAAACAACAAAAACAACAAAGAAACAACTCTTTACATTTTTTCATTTTTTTTTTAACGTACAACTTAGGAAATCGTTAAGTTGGCAACAAAACGAGGCGATTAAAATGAAAAGTTGATCCCGCAACTGACAAAGGAAAGTTTATCGTGAAGGGTCGGTTGCTATGCAACTCACGTAGGGGCATCGAAATTACTAAGCCCGTCTTACCCGAGACATTCTGATTTCGCGCTCGGACACCAAACCACTGCGCTTCAAAGGACTCATTGGTGAGCTTGGCCATGAAGAAATTCATACGTGACACGCGTCGTGCACACTGCTAAGATCAGCCATGTTTAAAAGAGCATCACATGTTTGGAATTGAAGTAATTTTGATCGTACTGGCCCGCGTAACTGTACGAGACTCTAAAGTCTCTTACAAGAGACAATATAGCGTCTTATAAAGTTAATAAAGGTCAGGACTGGGACAATAATGGCAGAAAAGGACGTTCCTCAAAGTACGAGACATTTTTATTTACAAACAGAAGGAAAAAGGGCTTGTTAGGGAGTTCTTTCTCTTCTTTTCCCAGATAAACATGTTTTCGGTGTACTTTGCGTAACAACGTTCTCAAGAAAAAAACAAAACAAAGGCGACGTCTGTCTGAAAACACAATTTGCCGTCAGCAAAACCATATTTCGCTGTGGTCTGTACAAGAACGGTCGCCATTGATCTCCTTCCCTACACAACAGTCATCCGTTTCCATGCGCTCAAAAAGCTGTGTAGCTGATGAATCTCCTACTTCTAACACTTTTAGCTGAAGTTAACGAAGGTTTTTTTAAGGTACATTATTTGTTAATGAGGTGGAGGGGGCCCAAAGCGAGGTGGCGGAAAAGGACCTGAGGAAGGAACATAATTTCGTGTGATTATTATTGTTACTGTCACCATCATCATCGTCGTTATCATCGTCATTTTCATTATTAACCCTTAACTCCCAATATCTAATTGTTAATTCTCCCCTCTAGCGGCTACACATTTCCTTGTCAATCAGTTATGACAATTTAGTGTTTGATCAAGATAACAACTTCTACCTGATAAGTTGGGGTTTTCTCGATACCTGTTTAAGGAAAAGTTCCATATTAATCTCTTCTGGGAATTAAAAGGTTAACGAGTACATACTTGTGCACAGATGCACAATTTCAGTCAACAATCAAACCAGCCACGGTTAAACCTTTTCGTAAAAAAGTAAACAACAGCTAACTGTTTTTTAAAAATACAAGGTTGTCTTGAATACAATAAAATTGGAGGACGAAATCTTTCCATCAATTCGTTCATTCATCGATCGGTCAATCGCTATTCAACTCTTGTATCCCTTGATTAATGATACTATACTCTATATTTTTCTCTGTCAGTGCCCGTGACACTCCTATCTTCATTTACATAAACAATAGCAGACTCAAGATATTCAACAACTATATTGCGAGGAGTGACAATGCTGTTACAGAAGTTTGCCAAACACTGCGCCTAATGTGCAGACTAGAAACCTAGCCAGCGTCAGCACTTACCTCGAGGAGGCATCCCAAAAGGCATAGGAGGAGGCCCAAGAAGACTTGGTATTCCGCTTGTTGGTCCCATATCATTTGGCGGGTGTGGTCTGTTGCCAGGAGGTTGGAACTGTGAATGAGGAGGCCTTGATAAAAGATTTCCTTGATCTGATGACGGTCCTTGACCAAGAAGAGGCTATGGAAATACGAACAATAAATATTAAATATTCAGTAAACCTGAGAGAGCCTACAGAATCGTTAATTTATCTTTTTTCTTTCTGCAGGCACCTGTTGGACAAATTCCCTCCTCATCATTCACCTGTGAATAGTGCTTTCAGCGCTCACTGATTGGCTAGTCGAAGGTGATTTGCGAGCACTATTCACCTCAGAGCAGCCGAAGAGACAAAATCGCACGTCAGAGATTAATTTACAACCCATTTTTGCTATGTTGACATTACTTGACTATTCCAGTAAAGCGGTCTGACGAGAACAGGGGCGTATCATGTAGAGATTTTCTTGGGGTGTAAACGACTCTTTTTTTGAGAGACAAATTTTACATTCAAATTCTACAACTCAGGTCTGCTAAAATACGCAAATCCAAAGAATCTACAGAGCATAAATCTTTTCCCCATTATCCTTTTTGCCACGTGGAAATGAACTTCCCGCAACGTAATGTCTCTAAATGTCAGGCCCATAGAAATTTTGGTGCTGTCCACCTTCTCCAACCCTTTGCCTTAGCTACACCCTTGAAAGAAAAATACAAGATTGGGTCTCCTGAAATAAGAAAAAAATAAAACAGACTGTGACACACTATCAGTACATGATACTGACCTGAGGAGGTGGTGGCATGTTTGGCGGCACAGGTGGCATAAACTGACCTCCCTCCATGGGAGGGGGTGGAGGTGGCATTTGGCCTGGTGGACCAAGTGCACCAGGTGGGGGTGGGGGTGGTAGTTGGTCAGGAGGTCCAGGCATCATAGGCATGCCGGGCATTCGTGGAGGGAACATTCCTGGTGGTGGGAAGCCAGGTGGCATCATGCCAGGAGGAGGCATACCTAGAACAAGAAACAAACCATGATGCAAAATGCTCCATGTACTGTAAATAAAGTGTATGCATGAATAAAAATGAGTTTATCTACCCAAAGGGTTGGCTACAAGGGTAATTATTTGGCTCAAGGTCATGTCAAGCATGCTAAGCATAGCTAATTCCTTAGCAGGTCTGGCCTGAACTGATTTGTCAAGGCATCCTCTGGGCAGGAGATTGAGTTATGGGCAGATCAACCAAGCTCATTATACAGTGCAAGATTATAGACATCTTGAGCTACAGGTACACAATAAGCAGCTCTCCTTTACTGCAAAGTCCATTGGATGAGTAAGAAAAAGATCAGTGAAAAATTTGATGTTAGTACATCATGCACAACTCTGATGGTGAGGCACCTTACTCCCACAGTTCTGCATGGTGCATAGTGAACACTAAGGCTAAAGATGGGAGGAAACTGAGAGAGTGACTGGACTATCAACAACTCCAAGAATTAAACTTAAACTGATATTGTAATGTGCCACTAGATGCAAAGAAGATCACTGACAGTCAAACACCACATAAGGAACCACTTACCAGGAGGAGGCATACCCGGTGGAACAGGTGGCATTGGTGGTGCACCAGGAGGCATGTTGGGCATATTGGGCATGGCAGAAGGTGGAGGTACAGCCATGACTGCAGGGGGCATGATTGAGGTAACTGCTGGTGGTGCTACAGAAGCAGCAGGAACTGGAGGTGCATCTGCAAACAGCTGATGAGGTCTGTCGGCTTGGGCAAGAGGATTCTGTGCTGCTAATAGACGCTCTGGAAAGAGAAGATAAATTGAGAGTAAGCTCATGTCATATCAAATGTGGGGGGGGGGGGG